GGAGCAGTTCCCCCACTCCAGGGAGCCCCAGCTGCGGCAGCTGGGATTGCCAACGGCGCTAAAGAAAGGTACGTCAGGCGGCTGAGAAGGAACGCTGCGGCTTCCAGCTGCGCAGGTAAGGTCCTCTAAATAATTAGGTAGAATTTGGTTTAGGATGGACAGCGTGCCCCTTTTTGGGCCAGTGCTAGAACTCATGATGTTCTTGCGCCCTTTGCCCAAGCCGGTGTCAGAGGCCAAGTGAAACAAGCAGCTTCCTCCCAGATACCATCTGTTTTCAGCGGGCGTCCCCTGCAGAAAGCAGACGGGGCGTTTCAGAGTCGGTCTCACCGAATGGTTTTAACGCTGGCGTGGGAAGGGACAGGCTGCTGCGGGCGGTGTCACGGCCCGAGCCCTGCACCCACGTTCCAGCGGGCTCGTCCGGTGTTCGTGAGCCTCCTCCCAGAGCTGTCCTTCCCGCAGGAGTGGTGACCTTGGTTTCGGATTACGAAGTCTGCAAAGAAGGGGACGTTCTCACACCCGAACAAGCGCGTGTGCTGGTGAGCAACATCGTAACGCAGCATCTGCCTGAGCCCCTGTTTCCCCCGACACAAAACAATTAACCGCGCAGTTTAATTCCACCGGAGGGGGTGGGTTCTCGCGCAGAGGTGACCAGCGCTGCTGGGTGCCAGGCAGCCGGGTGCGGCAGGCGGGCCCCCACGCGCGCTGGAGATCGCCGTCCGTGTGGCTCCTGCCTCGCTGCAGCCCCCGTCGGGAAGCGATGTTTACCCTCTGGTTTCGCCAGGCTGGCCGCGCAGACAGTAAAGCGGGGGTGACAGGTTTGCGTCCTTTCCTAGAAACTCTTCGGCTACGAGATGGCGGAGTTCAAAGTCACCATCAAATTTCTGTGGGATTCTGAGACGGGAGACTTCCAGAAGCTTGTGGGAGACACAGCAGAGGAGAAAGAGGAAGAGGAAGAGGAGGATGATGACGACAATGACAGCAACGAGGACTAACAGCAGTCCTTGTGCTTGGACACTAGACAGCTCTCTGGCTGAGAGACAAAAAGAGGAGGATGTTTCCCTTCTCTGCACCAGGAAGACAAGGACCATCAGCTCAAACATGCTCTTCATGACAGATGAGCTAATTTTGTTAGGTTTTTTTTAATATAAATCTCTATCTAAAACTTCAGACAGATGTCATTGCTGCCTGTTACTGTTTGGCTGCCCCAGGGATGTAAGGAAACGCCACCTCAAACATGAAAGCTAGGCAGAAATGTAACGCGACTCAGACGCAGCACAGCTGACACGGGGGAAGGTGCCGAGGGTTCGCTCTTACCGCCCGGCACAGAGGCAGCTCTTTACCTCACAGTCCCCGAGCGCTGATGAGGAGACGCCAGCCAGGGCATAGGTACAGGTGAGACACGAGCTCTGCATTAGAAAAAGGTTTTATTCTTGTGTGTAAGTATTTAAGATTTCCTATGAAAGCAGAACTGGGACACTGGGGACTGGATGAAGGCCCATTTTCCCCCCCATCAAGTTGTAGTGTGTGCTGTGTAGAGCTGAAGGTCCGTGAGGGGAGAAAGAGTAAGGCGCAGCCCGACACGGCAAGTGCTGACAGCGGTACTGGATCCTACAAAGCTTCATTAATACAGGGAAAAATCACAACCCATCTGCACGTCGGCCAAAGGCGGGGGTGGGCGAGTACCTCCTCTGCGCTGTGAGGAACCTGTGTGCGGTTCCCCACCCCCTTGACATCCGCTTTCTTGTCCCCCCCCCAGCCTCTAGCGGAAATAGTTGGGGCAGTCGTGTGCGGTCAGGTTCCAGGCTCTGTCAAACGCCTCCACGACAGGCGGGAGCAGGGGACCCTCTTCGCTGTAGTCGAGGTTCTGCTCTAGCTGCTCCAGGTTGGACATCCCAATGATTACTGCATCTCCAAGAGAACCCTGGAAAGCGGCAAGAGGAGTTGCTCACCCCAAAAGAAACCTAGTTCACTTCCCAAGCTGCCGCAGGCCAAACCTTAAACGTTTCTTTCCAGTAATAGAACATCCAGGAACTCCTGGATGTTCAGACAACTGATGCCACCAAGCTCTGTTCACAAGGCCAGAACATCTCCGAGTCATGCCAGCTCCTCAAAAGCTGCCAAATCCCACCCCACGGGGCACTAGGGGAACGTTTTGGGGAGATGGGGAATATAACCACTCATTTCCTAGTCTGATGACAAGCGAAGTCATCTCGCAGGGAAGCTGTCTGGGTGGGAAGCCAAGACGCAGTAACTGGCACTTAAAACCTTCCACTTCTTCCAGTCCTCTGAACAGAGGCTACCGGGGGGAAATGCAGAGCTGACTCCCTCCTGCAGCCTGGCAGGCAGAGCCCGCACAGCAGCACTCACTTTGGAACGCCGCAAGCCCATGGGATACGCAGATTAAAACCGTTTGTATGGAGACACTTCCCTGTTTGTCTGCCGCAACAGCTGCCCGATTCCGGCGGTGCGGCACAGGCTGCCGGCT